GCTGCGTAATAATTGAGTCGCTTTTTAAATATATAGCAAGTATTTTTAAAAATAAGAAAATCAGAAAAACAATAATAACAATTACAAATTTACAGCAAAAATCATATTTAGTGAGAATGAATTTTAAAAACGAACTGAAAATTCTTCAAATTGTTTGCTATTTATCAAAGATCAATGCTAAGAATCAAACAAAAATACAATAAAAAATATGAAAATATGAAAATTTGAAGTATTAGTGGGAAGTGCTCGAGCAGAGTCTCTGTGTGTTTTGAGTGCTATAAATATTCCACGCAGTGAAATGAAGACAAGTAATAAAATATTAAGAACTATTACTATTACCCTTATTATAATTCTGCAATCATTACTTTTGAAGCACTTTCATTTATAAATTCAATAAAGGTAATTAAAACTTCTCTGAAACAGAATTATTAAAGTTTTAATATACTATCTTTTATATAAATTTGTGGCAGCCACAGTGTTACGTGATAATACGTTGTTGATCGAAAATTATGATTTATCATTTGCATTATCAAATTATTAATAATAATGATATCATTATCAAATTATTAAAAATAATGATATTATTATAATTATAGTTATAAGCCGCGATGGAAAAAACTATGGGTTTAGCATTGCATCACTAACAGCTTTTACACATCTATTAAAAATTAGATAAGTTATTAATGTGTAAATGTCAGCTGAACAAATGCTAAGTAATTTTTTAATATTTATTAATTTGTCATCAAAGTCAAAAAGCTCGATGATAAGGTCATTTTGATATTGCAAATAACAAATTTTATTGAATTGATGAGTTTCAATTTAATATCCATTAAATTCTAGTACCGTTGTTTCAAAAGGTCATATTGAAGCATGAAAAGGTCATAAGAATACATCCGAAAATAATCATTAGTTCAAGTATTTAAAATCGCCTACACATATGATAAAATTTAGTATAAATACAAACATATTAGTGCTTTGAACACATTTTTTTACTCATTTTTTTCCTTAAAAGTATAATTTTACTAGCAATAACTTTCAAGAAAGATATCATATTTCATTATTTTAGTGTAATAAATATATGAAACTTTTTTATTTACTTGATTTACTCTTCTATTAAAAGCTAAAAATCCTAATTGACTTCATTTATTAACGTAAAAATATCGTATTAATTTTGTAAAAATTTGAAATTTATGACTTAATATCAGTTTGTCACATTTAGATCTTTGATTAAAAAACTAATTCATCCATGATATCATTTAAACAAACAATTGTTGGTAATCTCAGGTTATTCAAATTTTGTTCAAAGTAAATAATAAAAAATAAAGCAAATCCCTGAAATACTGTTACTCGTGTTTTAAACAATTTATTACATGCAAACAAATGTGCGAATATGAGCAACTATAAAGTTTCATATTTTATCTAAAACAAAGTACTTTTTATATATTTTACAAGTAAAATAAAATCTAATCAAGGGAATGAATTCAGTACATAGTACAATTTTTCCCTCTAAAATTTGCATTTTTTAATTTACAAAATCTATTTTTACTTATAATATATTTTTTGTATTAAAAATAATTTCTCCATCTTATACAAGCCTAATTTATTTATTTTCATGAATATCTGAAAACTTGACGAATAGTTTTGCATGTATTTTTTAGTTTTTAATAAATCAATTTATCTAAAAATAATTTAATACTTTTTCGATTTGCATTATTTCTTTGTAAACAGATTCAACGATAATTTTTTTATTAAAAATAAAAACGCTTTGAGAATTAAATCGAAATTAGACTTATTCAGTAATGTAATGCAATAATTGAATACAATAATTTAGAATTGTGAGTGATGATGTTAAGTTTAAACGACACAAATTTTGTGTGATATAAATTGAAGATAAAATTGAGTACTAAAAATTATTATTGCATTATATATCAAACTTTTACAGATCAACTGACCATAATTTTTTATTTGTATACACTACAACAAATTGATGCAAATCAGCAGATCAATGGATGTAATTGTTTTTTCAAGTTTTAATTAGTTCATGAAACATCGTGAAATGCAGATGTGCTTTATGCAAATTCCTTGCTGTAACAGCAAAATTATAACTCATAAAGTATTAGGGGATCTGAACTTTAATTCTTTTTTCTAACATAGATAATTCATTTGACTTGCTTAACTACGCAGTAAAAAAGAGAAATACATGAATCTGATTTTTAATTATATACCTTATGAGTGATTTTATTAAGAAAAAAGTGAAAGCTTAGAAGTAAACGTCAAATGCATTTATCACAAAAATTATACTAAACGTAACGTTAAGTACGTTATTTAACGTCAATAATAGTAATCAAAACAGTCATAGGAGCAAAAAGATTGGTCATAAATGCTAGAATAAAATTAGGATTAATTAAAGTAAATAAATTTTTTGCGAAGATAAATTTAATTTCTAAAATATGC